CAGAGATTTAATACTGCTTACGAGATTGAAGATGAGAATATGAAAATATGATTTAAAATTTTAAATCAATGAATAATTATTTGTTATTTATTTTAATTTTTAAATGCTTTTAATAATAATACAAAACAATTTATAACAAATTAAAACAAAACTGTAATAAATCTGGTAGTAATAAATAGGTAGTTATAGAACTTTCAAAAAATGTTCAAAAATAAATAYAAATTATAATTCATATTTTACACTTCTAATTATTATAAGTTGGGCTCGGATATCTGTGCATATTTTTATTTTTTTTTTTTGGAAAAATACACGACGTCTTTTAAGTTATAAATAGAGTGTGTTTCAACTGTTTCAAGTAGTCCATGTTGTAACCACAAAATTGTTTTTGAGGTATTTTTTACAATTTTTAAGTAATTTTTGACCAATTTATCGTATTATGACTAAAACTTAAATTCATTGAAATTTAAACATAGTACTAACATATGAAATCATTTTTATTTTGAACTATATATAACATCATGTAATCAAATTAGACAAAGCTGAAATTTATTTTCTACAACAACAAATTTGTTGATTTAATTGCATGATAACTTTTATCGGAGTATTTCAGTATAGTTCAAGTAGGGTGGTGTCATAAATATTGAATATATCAAATTTTATTTTATTCATTTTTTTAGCAACTACACAGTTTAAATGTWAAATGCATTTTTTAATATTTTTAGGGCATGTTTTAGAATTATTAGGTCGTAAATGCATTTAAATTCCAACCCTAATATAAGATATTTTAATTATTCCTTTCAAACTCATTAAAAACGAGTTTGGAACTTTTAGAGTGATAGATTTTACTTTATATTAGGCACCTTATACATGTGATAAATTGCTTATTAAGTTCTTCCATCACGTCATGTCTACAAATAATTTTTAATAACTACCACATTTTGGTTTTCTCTTATTCTCAAACACTAAGTTCATTAAATGACAATACATTAATCATTTAGTAAAATATGGTTAATTAGCTAATATAGAGACCATTTTTTTTTTTTTTTAATTGATCAAAGTACATCGACATCTAGGCCATTAGTAAAAGAAATTTTTTTTTGGTTACATTTTTAGTATTTTAAGTATAAATTGTCTATATTAAATTAAATTGTACAATTCTGTTTTTTTTTTTAAGAATACAATTCAGTTAAAGTCATTTTTGTTACACTGTATTTCATTACCTAGTTATTATTATTATTTTTTTTAATAGTACTTTTTCTTAGCTATATATTTTTTCCTTCATGCAATCAAATTATTATATTATGGTAACCAATAGTAAAAATTGTTATTAGAATTTTTTAAGAGTCTTTACAAAACAAGATTATTTTAATTTATTCTAGTTTTGACAGTCATTTTTAATGTCAGGGTAGATAATATTATACAAATTATCTATATCGTAAAAATGAATAGTTTCTGGAATTATAAAACGCTGATAAAATCGTTCGATCGTCGAAACAATAAACTATTTATTGCAATTGTATACGATAATTTAAAAACTCTAGTTTCATAATATAGCTAGACCAATTAAACCACGTAAATTGTAGGTATGACATTAATTTTTGAGTCCTTGAGAAAAGAATCAACATTCTATAAGACGATGCGTACATTATTTATTTGAATAAAACTGTGTGATACACGCTTAGTAAAAACTTCCTGAACAATAAAAATCGTTATCAAAAATCGTCTTCCTTATTATTATGAAAATATGTCTACTTTAATGTAATATTCCGTAGATATCTACACAAATACATAAATATAACAAGTCATTTATGAGTTTATGGCATTCTGAGTTGCAGAATTACTRTAGAAGTAAAACCTTATAATAAATATTGAACATCATGTTTTGTGGTTTTTGAAATGTCTAAGTAGTCGGGGGTATATAGGTACGACCATCTTTGTTTATTCTTGATATTTTTAATTTCGCCACAAATCATGGACATTTTAATAAAGCCTTAACCTAGAGAACTCAATTAATCAATATGACGTCAGTTTTTACAAATTGAAATGATTTGCATTTTTTTTTCTCCGACGCAGAATAAAACATATTCACTRCATACAAAAGGAGATCCACCTCGATACACGAGCTTTATTGTAATCTACAAATATAACAATACAAAAAACTAATTACATACCAATGGTGTTTGTTGTTGAAAAAACATACCTTTTTTCTTTTTAAATAAAAAAAATATGTATATATTTTATGCCAAGTGCATTTCAGAACTATAGTAATTTTATTAAATTAATGTTTGTTGTAGAGAAAAAATTCAGATTAATATCACATCAATGCTAATGTAAAAATTGCATTGACAGCACATTGTTTTCTGTATACATATTATAATAATATATCTATGATACATACACTTACTTGATACGACGTGTTTAACGAGTAGGTAAATGAGTTATATTAATTTATTTATAACGTGTATAATACTCGCAAACATTACATAAGAATTAATTTTTTTTTTTTTTAAATGATTATTACGAATATTGAAGGCCATGTCGTAGGTGCAAATAAAGTAAACTTATTTATTTTATAAGTAAAATAGTACATCATAATATACGAATAATAAAACACAATAATATAGTTACAGTTTAATTATTTATGAACATACCTATAATGTATGTAAACATTGTAAACTCAACATTTATACTCAAAATTGTATTATCAATCTGATGTCTCGTTGGATACAAGAATAAGAATATAGTAATAATTAATTGATTGTTCCTAATATATTTTATGACTATAACTATATGCAATCAACGGGAAAAATAAAATAATTGGCAATTGGCATTCATGCATATACCCAGTACTTATTCAAATAAAAAAATAATAGTAATAACAATAAATTGAAAAACAATATATACATGTATGTATATTTTATCGGATCATTTCAAATTATAAGTGCCTATATAGTCAACTCAGAAATTAATGATCGAGAAATGATTCATATTTTGTCGTCATACTTGTCATTTTACAATAATAAATTATAAMGTTAAAATAATTATATTTTAACAATATAGTACCTATTGTTTTAAATGATATTATTTTTAACATTTTACGCCCACAATCTATACAATAACAGTAAAGTAATAATAATAAGTGTATGAGTGAGAGATGTCAGGTTGATCGTAATAATCGGGTGAAAAAAGGAAGAGCCAAGAGTTTTTCTATTGAAGGCACTTCGGCCTTTAAATAATATGAAACAAAATAAAACTGTTATTGGAAATTTGGAAAAGCCTAAAATAATCGTGTACAGTGCGGAATCCAAATAAAATAATGGACAACTCAACGTTACATTTTATATTAATGAAGTGTAATTTTATTTTACTTATATGAGGGTTAGTGTGGTATGAAATTTAAACTTAAAGTGCAGACTATACTATGTAGGTAGTATGTTCATTTTGATTTTGATTTATATTAATGTATTTTCTCTCATTATATTTTTTTTTTTATTCAGAAAATCAGAAAATGTAGTGATGTTGGTAGAATTTATAGAGAATAATTATTTATTTAATGGCTTAACAATCTTAAATTAAACAGCTTAAAAAACCAATGGACATTTAACTCTTATTGACCTCCTCTATGGTTAGTTGTTACGCGATGCATAATTATATAAAAAAAGGTAAATTTTATAAATATCGGCAAAAATGTTATCCATTAAAAATAGTTTAAAATAATTGATGTATTAATCCTTGTCGATAATTTAAACATGTTATTTTATATTTAACAGTTCGTGAAGTGAAGCTTTCTTTCARCGTAGGTTTATTATAATACATTTAGTGTCTATTAACTAGTAATTAGCTACTAAATAGGTACTAATCACTATAAAAAATATACATATTAGTTCGACAGTCGTTACCTCCATAGTTCATTTAATATTTAAATCATTGTCTGTATTATAATTATATTAACGTATTAAGTGTTACCTACTTTTTTATCTTTTGTATACAAGTACTATAATTTATTTTAAAACCACTAGATTAACTATTATCGCCATCACATTTGTGTGAATGGGTACAATAATAATTATCGTTACGATATCACGTATTAATATATTATACAATAATAAAATATTATTATTTTCTACATTTTCGCCAGTATAGTGTATACATGCATATAATACATATTTTATAATATTTGAGAACAGCGAGGTCGTGCGAAAGGTTGCTCTAATGCTGTATATTATACGAATTCGAACCTTTTAACAACGATACATTATCCATGTGCTTCATCATAATGCAAAACGGTGTTAACAAAATGCTTGTTATGAGAAACTTGGTGGCAGTTGAACGTCTAATTTCATACGCTAAATTAGCGTTTAATAAACAAATAATTAGTAAAACACATCAAAAACATTAATTGWTCAGTATAATTATATACGAAATTGAATATACTTAAGAAATCAATGCCTAAAAACAAAACAATTAACATACATGACATAATATTATAATAATAGATGCCGCACACATAATATTGATATGAAATCATCATTAAGTATATAATATGCTATACTAATTATAAGGATGAGTGAATATTCGTAGCAGTCGAATGCACGCGTAAGTAGCTTGTGAGTAGGTACCATAATATATTATTATATGCGCACTAGAGATAGGTATAAAGTGCGTAGTTTATGAAAATGGAAATTATATAATTATGTATTGTCATACATTCGTCAACGTCCACGGCGCCTATACACGGTGAGCTATAGAAAATTAGGATATAAAACGTTAAACGTTCGAACGACGATCTACATATTTTACACATTCATATTATTATTAAATATTAGGTTTTTGCACACAATTCACCGAACGGCCGAACTTTGACGTGCCTATATATATAGTTATTAGTTATTATAGTTTCGGWCCACCGTTCKGCGTATTGTCAACTTAATATTATATACGTACTTATGTCTTATAGTAAAGTTATCATGGTATTAAATTTTATCKTTTTTATGTTTCAGTTATGTCCAGTGATGCGAACAGTTTGAACGATATATATCAGGGGTTCATTAACAGCAGTGCAAGTGAGTTCATCTKTAATATATTATATTATTATTCTCTATCATTCTGCCTACATCTATTTCAGTGTTCTATAGTTTTTAGTATTTAGTACCTATTTATTTTAGTATATAGTTAGCGTTTTTAGTAAAAAAAACTGTCCTACAAGAAAAACTCAAATTCTGTAGAATAATCAGATTTTTTCTTTATCGAAAAAAAAKAAAACATGTTGCAGGTTGATTCAAAGCTTGATTTTCCAATATGATTATAAACGCTTAAATATGCATTCGAATATTGCACAAAAAATTGTTAAGTGTTAAATTAACAAACTCTGATATCAACATATCAACGAGGCGTGAGAATTTTTCATGTGTGAAGTCATTTTTTTCATAAAATCAAGTTCCTCCTATCCACAAATAGGTATTGGATTAGTTGAAGAGTATTAAAATTTTATGATAGTCACTAAATTTTATAAGATTGCGGAAAATTGTAAAAACCATAATGACTATATAGCTTATAAAGCTATAACTGTGATATAATTTTAAATTCGTTTATAAAATATTTAAATATAAAATCATCGTAAGCTGCCCCCCGCGAGTTATATAATAGTATAATACCGCAGGTACAATGTTGACCTTATAATTATTTGTGTATGGCTAACGTTCAATTATTATTTAGTCGTGTGAGTGTATGTAATACGTCTACTTATTGCGGTAATTACACATTGAACAGTAACACTAGATTCTATATACATCATGTATTGTAATATTACCTATTATAAGTATCAGTAGGTACCTACACTATGCAGGCTACGCATAATTAAATGTTATGCATTTTCGTACTTCGGAACTTCCGAGCGATTGCAGTAAAATTTAAACTATGGATCGGGAAAATTACAAACAATAACTTCAAACGTTGCCGATAAAATAGTGCTTGCACAAAGATTTGTCGTTCTCGCGTCAAAACCGTTCGTGATTCGTGCTGTTCGTACCGCGCGCAGGTCTACCTATTATAAATTATAACAGATAGATGCCTAATAATTATAATTATTACCGATCGCAATAATTATTATATGAGTTGCGAAAATATGACTGCTATAATTATAATAACAATAATTAATACCCTCACGCAGAACCACTCGCGGTACTCGGGGTTTTCATTTCGTAATGGATGATACGGGTGCGTTGTTCGTAATAACTAAATAACATGATATTATAACTGGCTTCTCGTCGGTGGCGTGTACATAGGTATTATAATATAATATTGTGTACCGCAATACTGTAGCCCGTTATTACAAAAATTGATCCTCGCTCACGTCAAAGTATACCTAATATATTATTGTGTATACTAGTTGTATATCGTCACGGCGGACATAATAATATACGTTTTGCAAAATTAACGTAATTTCGAATAGAGTTTTGCAGCGCCTCACTGCAGCAGTCGAGGAGYGGATTATCTCAGAATGAACCTATACCTCTAATATACATTATTTTGCACGAGCGGAGTATATTATTATTTTAGGACGTACGACTGTGGCGGGACGAAAGAAAATTATTACATTAAAGAGTCCGGCTTTCATTTAAGGGGCAGCAGTTAGGCAATTTCTAAACTCGAYATCGCCGTTTGGAATCTACGCGTCTTAATAATTAAGTTAAATTAACTAGTCGTGAATGGTTATTAGTTCGAGTTGGTACCAACACTACCAACGAATTTTGACACTTGGACGCACATGCACAGTTCGTATTATTAATGTACGGCTGCATAATTATTGTTTCGACAAAATTAAAGTTTGAAATATAACAACAATATTTCAATTCAGTTGAAAATATGAACACATTCCGTTTTAATTTTTGGTTTGATTACAATTATGATTTTATCAAATCCATATTTTTGAGTTTCAATTGCAGTACAAAATTAAATATGATCAAATGTTTTCAGTGTTCCGTACAATCTACGGACGTTTTCTGCTATATTCAGATATTTTTTCCAGATATAAAATCAAACAATATAAACTTACTTTAATTTTGTCTATATTTTAGGCCTTTTAAATTAAAATAAACGGTAGTAGTTCCGAGGCCCCTTATGATTATTATTTTTTAAAACGCTTGACAGTGGTTTGTTGGTTTCACCTCTTGGACAAAGTTTCTCGATGCGTGTTTTTTGCGCAGAGCTCCACGATCTTCGAAGAGTCATTACTCATTAATAAAATCTTATTAAAGATCCCCCAGCCATCCGTCAAGTTTCCTGTTTATGTATATTGTAAATTTGTAACCGAATGTTGTATGTGCTTTTAAAATCGTAAACGACCATTGATCGTGCTTACCGCTATATTATGTATTTACCATAACGACACATTGACTCGACTGTTGTGCTTCTCGTCTAAAATAGTTGATAATTATAAATAATGATGTCGAAGGAGGTGGGTATAATATTTTTTGTAGCGCACATAAATTATTGTATTGTGCGATTCCTTATGGATAGGCAACAAATAATATTCGCGCATGCATTTAAACTATCTATTTTTCAACGGCGCTGACAAACACGTTTGGTATTTGTGATCGCCCGTTCCAACGATTTCG